AAACTAATAAGTAGGTTTAAAATTAATAAATACAAATGTATTCTGACAGTTTATGAGTTAATTATACTTTCTATTTGCAAAATTTCCTCAACCTTAACATAAAATAAGAAAAAAGTGAACTTTTAAGAAATTTGCAGGATTTCCCTGGTTAAAAAAACAACTGGGATCCCAATTGAGAAATCCTATTTCGAAATATTTTTCTTATCCAAATTCTTCACTTTATTTGCAATGAGATCATGAAGAAACTTAGAAAGTTTAGTCAACATAACAAAGCAATCACCGGCGCACTGCTCACATTATATTACTGCAGTGGCCATTTATACTTACAATTGGCTGGCAACATGCATTTTGTTCGTATGGTAATTTCCACACGCAACACTGAAAGAAGACCAAACCAAATGTTTCTGCATGTTAGTACTAGGCTTTAGGTGTAAGAAGATTTCCCGATGTTAATCCCTTGCAATATTATTCCCTTTTACAGAATTGTCCCTATTTCGATAAGGATTTAAAATTAGAAGCCTAGCACGAGGCAAAGGAAAGTAGCCACATTAAAATCATATTTATAAGTACAGACTTTTAAAATTAAAATTTTTCTTATGAGAAAAAGTTGTAGACTTCAGTAGAAATCCAGATAAGTGGTCGATTTCCAAACCCAGCAAAGAAGAGGTGTTGGCGAAGTAAAAATCTGTCCCCTGACCCAGAAACCCGCTGCTTCCTGGCAATTATTAATTTATTTGGACTGACAAACCGATCATTGCTTTGTCCAGCAGCCTGGAATCTGCATTCCCTTCCACATGGCTTTGCATGGCAAACAAGACTCCCACTGGTCATATATATATATTATATAGGGTTGTTCAGAAAGTTAGTTAGTTTTTTCCCACAAAAAAAATTTTCTGATAATACAGGCGATTCCGTTTAATTAGGCCACCAGTTAATCAGGGCAGCTGCTTTATTGGGCCAAATCTCAAAGAACAGAAACCAAACTAATAAATTAATACATAATTTAATCACTTAATTGAAACAACTTTTCGCTTAATTGGGACAGTAGCAGAAAAGGAATTTAGCAATTTTTGATATATTTTAGGGATCTTCTGAAAATATGTAGACTAATGTCATGTAGGCCTGACAATTGGCAGAGACAAAGCAATTTTGTCTTTCCCTCAGGCAGTTCAGTTTTTCCAGAGGGAGTCAGCATAGTGGGACATATCACAAGGGCATCCTTCTGAGATGGACCCGAATGTGAGCTACTGACCCTACTCTGGATTGGACCAGACGATCCCTTTAAAAGCAAAGGACAATTTTTTTAAGGTCTCTTGACTGAGTTGGAAGATAGCTAGAGTTCCCTTGGAAGGTATTGTGTGCATAATTAATTCTAGATTAGGACATCAGCCATCTTATTGTTGAGACCAGCATCCGGAGCTGGCAGATTCTATGGATGCTTCCGTTGAAGTGGCCATTCTCCAAGTAAAGGAAATTGTGCTCAAAGGAAGACTGTACAGTGACTTTTGGACTAGTTGGAATGTGTTCTAACTAAAAAAGGAGAAAGGAAAAATCATTTGATCAGGAACGAATTAAATGGTCAACTCTTGTGTAAGTCACTACTAATACTGTATTTGGCAACACTAGCATAATGCAAATCAGTTACCTATCATTGTGAGTCTGGCAAATTTATAGTACAAATATTTTCTGTATTTTGGTTTAATAAAGCATTAAAATAGATACCTAATTATTATTTTTTACCTACTTACTTATTTACCTATATATTTCATATATATTATTTTAGAATTTATTATTAGTTTGTTTAATTGGGGCAGCTGCTTAATTGGGCCAAAATGGATTAGTCCCAACATGTCCCAATTAAATGGAATCGACTGTATATGAATATTTTATTTAATTATATATTGACCATTTTGGTCCAATACCTTTTACCATATTTTTGGTAGTAGCATGATTCCATGCTCATAAAAGTTCTGATCTTTGCTTACAAAAAACTGATCCAAGTGATTTTTGATATCCTCATTTGAAGTAAATGTTTTACCATTTAAAAAATTTTGTAAAGACCAGAACAAGTAATAATCTGAGGATGTTAGATCTGGCAAATATGGTGGGTGTGGTAGCTCATTCCATCCAAGCTGTAACAGCTTCTGACAGTTACCAAACTTGTGTGAGGTCTGGCATCATCATGGTGAAACATTACACTTTTTCTGTTTGATGGTATCACTCAATTCATCCAGTTGATGGCAGTATACTTCTGAATCAATTGTGGAATTGTCTGATAGATCATTGAATAAAACAATTCCCTTAAAATCCCACCAAACAGAGAGCATCACTTTCTTTTGATAAATATCGGCTTTTGAAGTGCTTTGAGCCAGCTCATCTCTTCTACTCAGTCATCACTTATGTTTGTCATTGTTATAAACAATCTATTTTTTATAACCAGTTACGATTCATTTCAAAAATGGGTCATTTTCTTGATGTTTGAGAAGCAAATCACAGATGTCAATGTGACAAAGCAAATCTCTTTCTTTAAGAATGTTTTCTTATGGAACCCATATATCAAGCTTTGAAACGAAACTAAGTTGTTTCAACTGATCATAAACAGTTGAATTTAACAAATTTAATCTCATAGCAATTTCTCGTGTTGTTATTCGGAAGTTTGATTCAATCAATACCTTTATTTTGTCTTCATTGGCTTCAACTGACCTTCCAAAACACAGTGCATTTTCAAAATCAAAACTGTTGGAAAGAAATTTTGAGAACCAGTTTTGGCTTTGTTGTTCTGTCAACACATCTCCATACATGTTACATAATTTTCTTCTGGCTTAAACAGCATTCTTACATTTTTGGTAATAAAAAAAAAGCAAAATATACTGAAAATGCTACTTTTCAATTTTCCATATTTGATGGGACAAAAAAAAAATAAAATTTGCAAAAACTCAAAATTTCTTTTACAAATAAGCCTTGAAATACCTACCACCTGTCAAAATATATAACAATAATATGATTTAGAATGAAATTGGCAGGTAAAAATACAACTAATTCCTCTGGTGGTAAAAAAACAAAATTACTTTCTGAACAACCCAATAGCTGAATATGAACCAAGATGTATTTCTATTAAAGTAAACTTCTAGATTTGTTTCATCTGAGAGAGCATTTACAATTTACATTAATACCATTATAACTCATGTTCCTGTATGCCAAATTTATATACCCATAAATTGTATCCATAAATCTGGCATACAGGGAAAAGAATGTGCCTGTCATGAACTCATATGAAGCCAGGGAGATAGAGTGAGATACATCTTTACCACTTGCAATTTTTTTTGGAAGGGAACAAATGAAATACATAAAATGTTTCTTCATTAATGAAAAGCAGTCTTAAAGATTTTATTTTTTTGTTAGTAAAAATAACACTGATTTACAACTATATCATTTGTATCGTTAATATTTTCTAATGCACACAAATGATTAGAATAGTTTTAATACTTTAAAATTTCATGAACTGATAAAAGTATTTTAACAATTTACAAAAAACCTTTATTTTATTATTATTAGATATTATATTTTATACTAAAATAGTTTATACAGGAAACCCTTGTTAATTTGAACTCGGATTATTCAAAATCACGTTAGTTCATAAACATACTTTTGTCCTGACTGGGGATATAGAAATTTACATGTTAAAAAATTTGATTAGTTTGAAATATGACTACTTCAAAATTCAAAGTGAAAATTATATCCAAACTATGATATGCATATGTTAACTGGTTTGTTTAAATGGAAATGCCTCCATGCTATAAGAGAACAATGAACAAAGAATAACTCTAATCTGGTCAATATGGCTTTGCTTTTACAGTAATACATTTTCAAGTGTTGTCTTGACCACAAAATATCCTTTTTCTCTTATCTCATAAAATATGACTGGTTTTCAGGATAGTGACAATGAGCTACTAGTAGCAAATTGAGATATTTGAAGGGCTCTAGGCTACTATGTTTGGGCGTCTTACTACTTTTTGGGCTACTTTAAAATAAGTTGGGCTACATTTTGAGGAATTGTCTTTACTTTTTATAAAACCTATCTGCCAACCTGCGAGGTTCTCACCGGACATGTGCTGTTTACCTTCACATTTATGTTGTTGTTATTAATTAACAAAAACAGAGTGCTGTATAACTATCCATATTCCATATCCTTAATAAATTATATCAGTTACATGGCATTTAGCTATAATAGTTGCATTGATACTTCAAAGTTGCAAATAGTTTGTCCCCTAAATTTCAAACTAATGAAGATTTCCTGTAAATGAATTTCAAAATGTTATACTGGATTACCTTTGACACCAAACTGGCACGATAGGCAGCCAATGCTTTCAAATATTCTTTTTTGGCAGCTTCAGTTTTCTTTTTATATACCTGAAAAATTATAACATATTCTTAAAAATGTATTTCTAAAATATATCTATAAAATTTATTATTGCATATACAGATAGACACCAATAACTTAAACAGTATACTTTACAAATTTAACCATTACATTCCAGATTTATTACAAGCCATAACTTGACTTACCATTACTTATCCAGCCAAATTTGTTCTAAAGGTAAATAAACTCCATGTCTTTAGAACAAACTTTACTAGAACTTTATAAACTGAACTTAACAAGCTTTATAAAATACAAGGTTAAAAATTCTAAACAGAAAAGTTTAATAACAAAAATTGTCCGTAGAGAAACGTTGTTAAAATTTTCAATTACATTAATTTCTATCATCATCATCATCGTTATCGACAAATCATTAGAAAACAACTTCTGTCTGATCATTCTTTTTGTCTTCCTCCAATAAGGATACATGTTTTGTAGGAGTTTTAATCATTATATAAACATCAGCCACTATACAATAAGTGTGCTGGCAATCAAGTTTACAAACCAACACTCAAATCAACAGTCATATTTGGTCAGCCAAGCAATGCAAACATGGCCAATTCATTTAGAAATCATCAATCAATACAATTTTACAGCAAATTTAAAAACTGTCCAAAAGAAATGAGTCCTTTTGGCAATTTTGAAGTTTGCCATTGTCTGATCCGTTCGACATTCTGCACAACCATTGGCTTTCCAAAACACCAAAGATAATGTCAGTGACTTCCACTCTGATCTGGCAAACAAAAATCACAGAATTCTACACCAAAGCATTGACAACTACCTGACACATCTGAGCTTTGCAAAGGAATTCATTAACAATATTCCATACAAGATTTATTGTCAGCTGATCCAAGAAAAGATCACCAATGAAAGTTATTCAGTCTTCATGTAAATAATATAATTAAATCATTTACTGCCTTATTTTTAAATAACTCAGTTCATAGAAAAGCATAGAATTCTAAAATCTCTCAATTTTCCCGTAATTATTCAAAGTTAGGAATATTCAGTTGAACGCAATTACACTCTCACTCCTCTCAATTTACGGAATCTTTTCTGCAAAATTCACCTCCATATAATTTAAAACTCAAATGTCAAGAGTTTCTGCTTTATCAAAAGGAAAAAACAGAAACAAAAAATTATGACTCAATATTTAATTTAGAGCAATAAAGTTACCATTAAGCTACTAAATAAAAAAAAATCCCACAAGAAATTGCTTAACTGTCCCAGCAACATTTAAAACTGCATGTGTGGCACCACCCATTACAATATTTTATTAAAAGATTTATTTTTAATTATTGTAAAATGACAAAAAGCCTATTTTTGAGAGTAGGAATGGGTTTTATAATAAGAATTGTAAATGTAGTAATAAGGAGTGAAATTGTCATTAAGTCTGACCCTATCTCAAGACTGAGGTAGGGTCGGACTTAATGACCCTCTCTATCTCCCCATTCCCTTGACCTTCAATCACCAAAATTTAATAGCAGCATTGATCGCCTAATACAGAAACTTCCCTGCAAAACTTTTTAAAATTTTCGACAAAAAGCACGAGAGTTTATTATTAGCCAGGTCCATCAAAGCCATAATTCAACTCTGACTATTTATTCATTGTGCCCATGCAAAATGACCAGTTTGAATATTTCTGTACTTAGTCATTCTACCGGGACCTAAAATTTTTTAAACAAGTTTTTGTTTTAGATTTCCACTTGAGGCAAGAAGGCCTTAACGCTGTAGCTGAGAGCGGGAGCAACTCTGGTCTTGCATTGTCAACATAAAAGTAGTCAGCCATAAATACAGCATAACTCTTGGCATTTCAGTGCATCCAACTAATTTGTAAGACAGGTTTGACCAAATATTTTATAGTAAAAGAGTCATTCTAAGTTAAGAGGTACTTTTGACGTTCATTATAAAAAAATCACATTTTTTTTCGAAAATTTGTTCAAAATAACATTAGCATCTTTCAAAACTCACCATTGTCTTTATGGTCACATAAATTCATTACTTAAATGTACTTAATTTAGTCACAATAGTACCTCAAACACGAAAAACATATCTCCCCTGGTCTGTCCCCTAACTGATTCTGTTCGTGTATCAGTATTTTAAAAACATAGAAATCTAATAAAATATCAAAATCATTCATTTTAAAAAAATAGGATAAGTAAATTATTATAATCTAACAAGTAAAATTATGTAATATTTCTTTTTCATAAAAAATATTTACGCCTACATTTGTCCCACATATTTTGCATCTCGTCCCCTGGCTTTTTGTATTCCTTAAAAAATGGCGTTTGTTTACTTTGTCGCAAGAAGTTGTGACCTTGAGCACATTTCATTGGATGTGAAGTTAGCAGCAAGCATCGCACAAGCTAGCTGAGCAGCCATTTCATCAGTCATTTCGGTAATGTCACTCTGTGAGTACGGTTGTGAACGAGTGAATGTGATCTCTCCACTGGTAAGTTTTATTTGTGATTATTTGCCTAAAGACTTCATTTTATTTGTATATTTACTGTTATTTGTGCATAAATTCTCATATTTCTTTGTTAATTACATACGATAAATACTGTTACGATTATTTCTGTTTTCTAACGAAAACTTATCTCCCGTCTCTTAAGATTCCTGGGGAAAGATTTTATGTCCAGGGGAGATATAAAAATGTCAGATCAGAATATTTTTATCGATAACACATGAACTGTCGTTACGTAATTTAATCAATATACATTTTTATTCTCTTAGCCTATCTCACACATTTAATTATAGTATAAGGGTAAATCAAATGAAAACAGAACAGTGGTCATAATTCGGTGTATGTGTATGTGAGTGTAACAAAACTGTGTGTAGATGTAGAGCGGGAGGTGAAAGAGGAGAAACCCTATTGAAAAATGGACTCACTCTTGGTAAGCACATGCAACCACATGGTATGAGCTGGCGGTCGGTCTGGAGTGTCATCCGGCAGGCAATCAGTCTGCATCATGTTTGCGACTAAAGAAGAGCAACATGGTGTTATTCATTTTTTAGCAGCAGAGGGTGTTAGAATGTGTGTTCTCCATACACTGGAGAACACACATTCATTGTCCTCTGGAGTGCTTTTGCTCCACAACAATGCACGGCCACATACGGCCACTCTCACACTAAGCATGCTTGCGAAGTTTCGGTGGAGAGTCGATGATTTCAATCGAACAGCGAAGTCACGGACACCGTTCAAAACTGGTTTCAATCTCAGCCAAACTTTTTCTACGAACAAGGTATTCACTGCTTGGTGCAACAGTGGGACAAGTGCTTATGTAATTTTGGTGATTACATTTGAAAATAAATAATGGCTACTGTTCCATTTTCATTTGACCCACCCTAATATAATACGTCTTTTACGGAATATGGTAGCAAGAATAAAAATGAATGTGAAGAATGCCTAGAAAAAAAACATGTAGCGGAAAGATTAAGGTCCCAATGCATAAAAAAATGACCCCGTCAAATATGCACAACAAAAAGTTAAAGAACATGAAAAGTATCAAGAGAAGAAAGAAAAAGAAATTGTTAAGACTGTGAACCAAATGACCCCCCAGAACAGCAAAAAGCTAGAAAATTGTGGAGAGAAAAAGCGAAGAATTGTAGACGTCGTTTAGCACTTCAAGTCATAACTAATGTCTCCGTAACCCTTCATAGTTCGGATAATGAAGACCCACTGCTACTACCACCTCCTCGGAATGAAGATACTAACAGGCGCACGAGCAGCACAGCAGAAGTCTATTCGTGCGAGGAAGGCAAGAAACTTGATAATCAAAACACAGGTGGCTGAAATAGTTAAACTTAAGACTAAAGTACAATATTACAAATGCAATGTTACAAAAAATGCCTACAACAAATAACAAAACAATCTCCAGTGCACACACCAAATACCAAAGTGAATGCACTAGTAGATTCACTAACTGTAAGTGATACAGAAACCATAAAGAAAAAGCTGGTGTATAGTGAAGTTGTATCTCAACAACTAAAAGACAATTTTTCAAGTCTCTCGACTGAAAAAGAGAAAAGATTTTTTAAGAGAATGATAAGCGGAAAACTAGTAAAAAAAAATACAATGTTTTAGAAACAGAAAAGATAATGAAACCTTTGAAGAATGTAAGTCGAAAGTTAAGATTCTTAAGAATATTATATGTGAACTTTTGGTTTGAACCAAAAGTTCACATATAATTGGAGCCTCCTGCCCCTAAGCTTCCCATATCTGGTCTTGAATTTCATCTATCTGACTCTGTACTTCAGATTAAGGAAAGATGAATGGACAGACAAACAATAGTGAAAATTTATAAGTCTACAATTTTTTCAAATTGCAGCCCAAAATCTGTATTAATTGACTAACAAAATGTAAATGGTCTCCAAGAATTTGTTGTTTTAATATGCTTAAATTAAATATATACATAATCTATATTAATAAACTTTTATTATTACACTGTATTAATAAATATTATAATACATTGTGTTTTTATGCATGAAACACAGCTAAAGGGATAAAGAAATACTTTGCTTCAGTGTCAGAAATGGATTAATCCATTTTATATTGTTTCTTATGAAAAAATTTATTTCAGTTTTCAAACAACTTTTAGATACAAATATGAACAACATTCAGAGATTTGACTGTATTTGTATATTCCGTGCGCCGCACCAGGGAGGCCTTTTCATTGATTATTGACTTTATTCAAAACCAAAAGAATCACTAACTGGAAAATCATCTCTATGCCCGGTACTCACTATCACCACCCTCTACGTGGCACCATGGACTTGGTACTTAATACCATCGATTCATTTCTGAAATATAATGGCTCTCGAATTTTTTCAATCACTTTTTGGGGTCAAAAGGCACAGAGCTTAATGGTGCCCATCGCATGAAGACAATAATTTCTCCTGAAAAGAAAACCTTCCTTGGAAAGTTCCCCCAGATGACGATGGGTGTTAAGTGGCCCCAACTGAAAAGATGAGCAACACATTCTGTTTAATGAAAATATTTTGCATAAAAATTGTGCATTGTTTGCATAAAGACAATACAACCCAAGACCATTTTCAATTGAAAAAAAAAAAAAAAAAAAAAAGATAAACTTTAAAATATGTCTACTTAATTTTCAATTATCAATATTTTGTTCTGTTTGAATGCATTGACTGGTTTTATTATTACAATTTTGTTTGAATGTCTGGAAACACCAGGAATAAATGATTACTGCCCATCATAGGGAAATTCCATACTTTAAACCTAATACTGTATGAAACGATTGCCGAAATGAGTCTAAATGTAAATGTACACCAATATTAACAATAATAATAAAGTATTTACAGTCGACCCCCCTATAACATGGTAGATACGTTCCAAGCTTTATGAATCCAGCTTCTAGGAGTCCAGCTAATCACAGCCCGGCATGTATGCAGTTTACGGACTACGGCTGTTTGAAAGGTTTCTTCCATAAAATTAATTGATTTTAGACTAATTTGACTCAACATTTCCAAAATATGTATAATTTTTTGGGAATAATCCATATAAACTCTGCTATAAACAAAAAATCGTAGGATTACTTACCGAGTGCGCGCCGTTCGACTACGCCGTTACTTAAGCTTGTTTTTGTCGTGGAGATTGTCATCAAATGGCACTCGCGTACTTCCTGATAAATTATTTTTTTTTGTGAAAAATTCGCTGAACTTTAGAGACATCATTAATATAAATATAAATTTTATGGACGTTAATTAATAAATGGTTTTTAGTAGGTCCGCTGCTCGTTTAAACTCAACGGTTTGTGCAATCCTGTCGTGACACGAGTTGGCAATGACGTTTTACCAAATTATAGGAGTATTTTTAGCATGTTTGTACGAATACTGTCGCAATTTTTTTGCCATGATATAGGAATCCAAACTGTAGGAACCCGTGTTATGGGGGGGTCGACTGTAAATCAATGACACAATTTCTATATTCTATAACTATTTTATCTCCCAAATTATTTCATTTTCCACTTAAAAGTTATTAAATAGAGTAAAGCATTAACAGAAATTAATAATTTGCTGATGACTGGCAATTTTTTTTCTTAAGAAGGAATGGGTTGGCAGTCTTAGTGGAACAAATGTGCTCAAATAGAAGAATGCAGAGGAAAAACTTACATTTTTGTGGTCAGCATCCAAACTGTCCCACAGCGAGGCCACGATCTTGGACACCTCTCCAAAGGTAGCGTTGGGATTCTGACCTTTGATGGCTGCTTGCCTGTCCCGGAAAAACAGAGCGTAGGCAGAAACGGGCCTTGAAAAAACAAGAATCTGCAGTTAGTCTGAAAAACAACTCACTTTCTGTAATAAAGACATCTCCCGGCAAATGGCCAGGAGGCAGAAAATAATTAGGCAGTGGTATTTTTAGACGCGGATTAAAAATAAAGCAAATATGACTACAAATATAATGAAGCGTTACCACGACCTATGATAATACAGGACGTGCTAATTGTATAACACGAAAGTATGAGAAAATAGACAAAAATTCCATCCGAATACGAAACAACATGACAAAAGAAAGGTTTCATTTGCCGAAATTCATCCAAGTAACACGTCAGCAATTCGTCCAGAGGTAAAGCTTAGTACTCGCATGCAATAACAAACGACAAAAGAATAACATCACTTTGCCATCGAAGCTGACAGAATGCAAAGCAGAAAATTTTTTACTTTTTCCATGGTGGAAAGCGAAATTGTAAAAATTATAGTGATAGGAAGGCCGTTTAGTAAAGTCATCGTAAACATCATGTGAGACAACGGCATTCAAACTACGGTGGGCATGGCTAAAGCTTTATTTATACTCTATTACCACTAATATAATAATTATATGCTATGTTACTATCCAATTTAAATATTAATACCAAACAGATGTACAGTACTTACTGCATAAAGTATTGGGAATGACGTAACAGTAATTTGGGTAGAAAAGTATCAGATATTTGTAAATTCCGACCACTTTGAAATAGGGTTTCTCATTTCCCGGTCTTTTGCTTGTCCCAGGATTTCAGGTAAAAAGTGAACTGTTTTCCAGGAAATCCTGGGATAGATTGAATTATTTTGAAGGTACAGTAGTACCTCCATTATCCGGATTTTCGATTATCCGGATTGCTCAAAATAAACAAAAATTTTACGAATTTGCTGATTTGCACTTGGTGAATTACGACACTGATTACATACGTGATGGAATACATAACTTTTTTTGTTTCAACAACGTCTCACCCAGAACAGTGGTTGTAAACTCTTAAATATATTTTACGTAGTAATAAAAATATAACTAGATATACGTATTTATAAATAATTTATATTCAAATTACATCATTTCTATGACCAAGGGCGGCGTAAGGCATGGACGACGTGGGCCACCGCCTATGCCTCGCGGTCCGAAGGGCCTCGCGTTT